ATGCTTCAGTATCCACAGAAGAAACTTCCCAAATAACCGTCAAACTTCCATTAAAATTATCTACAGGGGACACTACGCTGCACATAATGCTTCTCTGCAGGAAAACATGAAAAATGGAGACATCGAAAATTCAATCCCCGAAGCCAAAACGAATGAAAAAAAAACATTTCCTTCAATAATGATATGAACAAAAATGACTCGAAGAGAACATATTCAAAACAGCCTGGATAACTATTCATATTTTCTGAATCCTATGGACGCTGTTGCATAACATTTCCTGGATGCCTGGTTTAATTACATGGTCGGCAGATCTTTTTTAGTTTTGATAATTGCATGGGTAAAATATGCACAAAATGAATTAAATAGGAATGTCCCTGTATTCCTGTTTAATTGGCACGTCTCATTTAACTATGAAATGTTAACACTAACTATATATACATACATATATATATATATATATATATATATATATATATATATATATATATATATATATATATATATATATATATATATATATATAATTTTTTGTGTAATACGATTGGGTCCACCCTTAGTGCAAATTGTGGGGACCATAGCCTCGGAGAAGTGGATAAAGAGGCTTGAGGAAAAATGTTTGAATTTCTTCTTTAAGCCATTTGAATGTTCCACTTCCCTTACCATCCCATCTTTTATTTTTTTTACCAAAAGGTATATTTTATCACATAATATGGTACACAAGGCTGAAAAGATACACTGCTGATATAAAAATGGCATACAACACATGAGGTTTGAGGAATACATTTCAAGTACATATTGCTACGTGTTTATCAGACTACAATGCAAATATCTCTTCCAGCTCCTCAGAGGTGGGGTGTGTACCCAGGACACAAGAGGTATTACCTCTCTGAATCGCAGAGCTGAATCGCTGGAGTAGAAAACTAGTTGTCCTGGGAACCTTAAGTTACCTAATGAGTCTTCTGCCTAGCTCCTTAAGAAACTTAGATGCACTCTTTCCCCATGGGCCAAGGGATTTCAAGCCTATGGGAACAAACACATAATAGGCAAGTTCACCGTATTTTCTAGACTTATCGAACTCCCTGAAGCTGGCAGCTGTCCCTCCTTCCTCCCTGGTGTACTGGAGATAAGTATCAACCAATGTAGACACACACATGTGTACTTCCACACCACCTGCTTGCCGTCTGCCCTGGCTTAGTGATACCATCTGGGCGCTTTTGTTTGCCATCAGACCTGCACAGTTGGGGTGGCTCCCTTATTGCTGGGCATCTGGCTGTTGTGTGGTTCCTCTTGATGTTATTAACCTCTTCATGCTTTGCAGTTTTCCCTTCAGATCTATGGCACACAATACCACAATACCTGAATAAATCTGCCGATTCACTACCACAAATACACCTGTATTCAGCGAGAACATGGGGAGGCAAGGCGAAGGGCAAGGGCGAAGGCCAGACGAAACGACATAACTGCTTCGTACACATCTGAATCTTGCACAAACAGTGGTTCCACAGTGGGGACAGGGGTCTTCGAACTACTGATGTCCCTGGTTTCTCTGGCAGGGTGTTTTTCTCTAAGTGCTTGAGCAGTGTCAGCATCCCTGAGATGAACTATATCTTCCCTAGTGATTATCCTGACTGACCCCATTGTGTTGCCCTCTTCAATTTTCTTGCTCACCTGGACTCTGATTTTTTTTTCACTGTCAGTGAAATGAGAAGGGGTTCTGCCTTTCCCATTTTTGTATTGATGGGGAAGGCGAATGAGGTTGTCAGCTCTGGGAAAGTCTCTTAAAGATTTAATGATCGTCGGGGCTAGCAACTTGCCACCTCTTTCCGGCACAGCTAAGCAGTCATTGCCAAAAAGTACACACTCACACACACACACACACACACACACACACACACACACACACACACACACACACACACCAAACAGGAAAATGCCCACTAAAGACATTGAAAATAGTAAAAGATTTTCCCGCTATAGAAAAAGGCGACTGAGACCCTCTTAAACTTTTGAATCAACAGTCTTATCATTCCTATTCCTCAGCCCAAACAACAAAATCCAGTTTAGCTTGTATCTGTCACTAGTTGCCAGTGCTAAACCTTTGAGAGGCTGAGTCTGCAAGCCTTCCAAAGAGTTAAAACTTCTCAATTCCCTGGCTGCAAAGATTAATGTACTGAAGGACTGTACATAACTGCATTACAACTCTTATTTCCATGCTCTTCATCTGCTGTACCACTGGGAATAAGTAGGCAAGAGTTCAGAGTATATATGGTCCAAGCAATGGAGGGCTGTCATCAGTTGTTAGATGTATAATAGGTGCTGGGGGAGGGGGAAAGGGCCATGGAACCCAGTTGATCGACATCAAACACTGAGTAGGAGTAAATATGGCGAGGCGTCCAGCAACAACTCAAAAGAAAGCAGCAAACACCATCTTCGACTAAAAGGGAGAAAAATAATCCTTATATATTATCAGCTGATAAGCTATCCCCAGTGAACTTACCAGAAAGTATAACGGTAATTCACAAATAATCTACAGCTTGGTAAGGAGACTTTAGAGTTTAGACGACGTTTCCGCCTATTCTGGACCACTATTATGACGTGACTTGATAATGGATGTTTGTGAAGTGTTGTAGAAACGGTGTTGTGACTTTCATTCTTTACTAATTCCATTGATGTTGATAAACGGCGCGTTCGCTGAATCAAAGGCTACTTCTCTAACAGATCATCTGAGCTATTCCATGAACATAGGATTGCAACTAAAGACTTTGAACTAGACATCATGACAGGAGGTGTTTTAATTCTCATCATATTTAATATGCAAGTCAATGTTTGACTAAATTGTATGTCCTTGCAACTCGGTCATTATTGATTAGATTTTCTGATGATATATTGACTGACGAAACTGGATATGATAAAGCTCAAAATATCTGCTTATTTTTTGTTCAGTAAATGGTTGTTTGTCATAATATGAACTGACACTGGTGGAGGCACTATATCAGGCCACGCCAGCAGTGACCGTTTCATCAAACGTGGTGGACTTACAGGCTTGAATATGTTAATATGTACTTAACAATGCGCTAGATTAATTTTAAAACCTACGATCCGATCCCTAAGATGCACCTCCATGGTAGATCTCATTACTACTCTGTAACTAATTACGATTATCTTGTTCTTTTAAATTCCTCTACATAAATTTCTTTTAGTCAGATTTTATTCATCATTACCGAGAGGCTCATGGTCCTGTTGTTTATATTTTTAGGCACAGTGCAGTCTTGTCTTATAATGCAGCCTAAATTCACTGTTGCAATAACTATGCAAAAATCTGTTTGAACATCACAAAATTAATATATTTCAATGACGTTAAATAATATTAAGTAAATTTAGGCTGACCTAAGATAGGCTGAGTGGGATTCAGCTAAAATGATATATGCCTGTTTTATCTAGATCAGGTTGGAGTCTAAGCTAGTTTTGGTGCAAAATTAAAAAAAAATTATACCTTATTCATTATATATAAAAAAATTTTTAACCGTTTCCCAACGAGGCAGGGTGACCCAAAATGAAAGAAAACCCCAAAATTAAAGCAAAAAAATTCATCATTATTCAACACTATCACCATCAGTCCCACATAATCACTGCCTTTGCAGAGGCACTCAGATACGACAGTTTAGATGTCTTTCAAAACTGCCAATATCCCAAACCCCTCCTTTAAAGTGTAGGCATTGCACTTCCCATTTCCAGGACTCAAGTCCGGCCAACCGGTTTCCCTGAATCCCTTCACAAAATATTACTCTGGTCACCCTCCAACAGCTCGTCAGGTCCCAAAAACCATTCGTCTCCATTAACTCCTAACATATATATGTGTGTGTGTGTGTACTCACCTAGTTGTACTCACCTAGTTGAGGTTGCAGGAGTCGAGTCCGAGCTCCTGGCCCCGCCTCTTCACTGATCGCTACTAGGTCACTCTCCCTGAACCGTGAGCTTTATCATACCTCTGCTTAAAGCTATGTATGGATCCTGCCTCCACTACATCGCTTCCCAAACTATTCCACTTACTGACTACTCTGTGGCTGAAGAAATACTTCATAACATCCCTGTGATTCATCTGTGTCTTCAACTTCCAACTGTGTCCCCTTGTTACTGTGTCCAATCTCTGGAACATCCTGTGTGTACTCACCTATTTGTACTCACCTATTTGTGGTTGCAGGGGTCGAGTCCTAGCTCCTGGCCCCGCCTCTTCACCGGTTGCTACTAGGCCCTCTCTCTCCCCTCTCCATGAGCTTTATCAAACCTCGTCTTAAAACTGTGTATGGTTCCTGCCTGTGTGTGTGTGTGTGTGTGTGTGTGTATTTGAGCGTGTAGCTGATAGGCTTCACGTTCAAACACCTAACCAACCAATGTTAATATGATATAGGAACACTAATATGTAATAACGCTATGTCATTTTCAAGATTATATTATTGTAATGCATTAGGTCGACGGACTATAGACAGCACGTAAGCCATCAAGGGCGAAATTCATCTCTACACTAACAAGGATATCATCCCTATATTTGTTATTAAAATATATACTTGGTCTATAAACACTCAGATATGTGTTCCTCTCTGTGTATATATTCTGCGAACGTTGATGGTGGTGATGCTGGAGTAATGTTAGGCCAAACAGAATACCACTGCTGACATAGCGTAATACATTGCTAAATTTCATATTATGTGAGAATGTATTAATTTGGCGCAATGAGTTCGGTAGCAAAATATATTTTTAATGTATGTTAATGCAATTTTTATTTAATCTATATATAGTGCATTGTAATTTTTAACTCTACTTGTTGATAATATTCGCAACGGATAACATTAAATTACGTGAAGGATGTATTAATATTGTTTATAATAATTATTATTTCATAATATTTTATTTATATTATTATTATTCAGAAAAAACTTTTATCGCGTGATGGTCATTAATTTATAAACAAGAGCATCACTGGCAACTAGATTTGTTTACGAGAGAGGACGTGAAGTGTTGGTAACCCCGCGTGATGTCACAGCAAGTGTGATACAACAAGTCCTTGAGAGCACGAGAAGTGAAGGAGTGGGGAGGGGAAGGGGAGATAAGACGAGAGATGATGGAGAGAGGACAGGACGTGAGCGAAAGGGAATATTAGAAGGAATGTGAAAGAGAGGGAAGAGAGAAAAAAAGAGGGTAGATAGGAAGGTTTATATACAGGTTTTATTTTAAATCTCCACAAAATAAAAGCTCTAAAAATGGTGAAGATGTCGCTAGTGATAAGGATGATGATGATAATGATGGATGGTGGTAGTGGTGGTAATGATAATGATGGTAATGATGGCAAAACTGAAGCTGAAGATGGCTACAACTAGGAAAGAGATCTAACCAAATTAAAACACTGTAGTCAGTAGAGACAAGAAGCGTCAATAAAATCTGAGAATATCAGTCTGTCCATTAGTGCCAATCCGTCCATCATGTGTCTATCGGGCAGTGTCACTACCATTAAGTGACTTTAGCACACTGACGTAACTGCCTCTGATCGTAACTCGACAGTGTTACATGAGTTTTGTATACCAATGTAATATCCCTTCGTGGTGTATGACGTCTGAAACATATTGCTAGAAGTGCGGAATGGGCTTAGAACTGTTCTATTTCATGAAGAGTCAAGAGTATGTCATTCAGATCAAGGAGTGGTGGAAGCTCGATCTGTTAACAGCGATTCCTTCTCTGACTAGCCAGGCTTTTCGTGTATTCTTAGAATCATGTTAATGGTGCGCAAGGTAGCGCTGATTACCTAGCAGTGTGATGCCATCAATGTGAGCAGAAAGGTGTAAAAAGGCGACTGGGATTTCCCTTGACTACCGGAAGCGTGTTAGACCGCTATCTACCCCAGTTACGTGAGTGGGTTTCCAGTGTGTGGCGGCCGTCATATACACTTTGCTTCTGACAGGAGATACATTTGCTCTCAGATTTTCAGTCACACATACGAGAATGAAAAAGTGACACCAGGGTTGAATCAGAAGTGAAAATACGCTTATCTATTGCTACTGAAAGTGATGTGTAATGGATAGTGTCCGGAAGAAGTTATTTATTACAGTAAGTTACGGGTTATTGTTAAACTGTAAATGAGACCTTTAGCAATGACGGGCTGCTGGCGTGTTGTTATTGGGACATTAATATCGGTTTTATGTGGAGTTGTGTCATCATCATCACCTTCTTCTGTCGCCCGAGATCAGTGCCAGGGAAGCAGCGGAGCAGGTTGTGAGCCAGACCTTGTCATTACCTCATCAGGCTCCTACACGCTGGTGAAGAGGTCCACAGATCGGGACCAGATCCTCAAACTCTTCGTGATGCCTGGGGCAGATTTCTCTTTTCTGAATATTACTCTGGGCTTCGCCAAGCTCAGCAAGATGCCGGACGGCGCCAAAACACTTCCAGATCACTTGTGGGAGGGAGTAAAGAACTGGCTCTTCGAGGGCCCTCTGGAGAAGGTCCGCGGGAAAATCAACAGTCTTCTGGCCACCGTCAGCAGGAAACTCGGCGACTTGACCGGAGCTTCTCACAGTCAGGTGTTGTCCGCAAGTACTTTGGGCCTCAGTGATGCCTGCCGTTGGTATAACCTTACTGTGCAGGCAATTCGCAGCGAACAGAAAATAACGAATAAGTGGGCCCTGAGGGTGTTAGTGGACGGAGCAGTCTTCATATATCCGACGTCGTACTGGTGGAGCCTTAACTGGGTGCTGTGGATGGAGGTGTCGTCGATGGGATCGTCGAAGTGGGTGACTACCCGGGACACCGTCTGCCCGTCGCATCCCTGGGTCGCAGTAGCAGCGGCTGTGGTCGTCGGGGTCGTCCTTGTCATATCTGTCGCTGTCACAACGTACTGCTTCTATAAAAGGAAGTGTTGCGGTGAGACTGAGAAACTTTGTAATGTGGAAGTAGGCTTTGTGTAGCTTGTTGTAATAGGCTGTGTTCAACTTGTGGTGGTAAACTGTATGTAACTTGTGGTGGTAGGCTGTACGTAACTTGTGGTGGTAGGCTGTACATAACTTGTGGTGGTAGGCTGTACGTAACTTGTGGTGGTAGGCTGTATGTAACTTGTGGTGGTAAACTGTATGTAACTTGTGGTGGTAGGCTGTACGTAACTTGTGGTGGTAGTCTGTATGTAACTTGTGGTGGTAGGCTGTACGTAACTTGTGGTGGTAGGCTGTATGTAACTTGTGGTGGTAGGCTGTATGTAACTTGTGGTGGTAGGCTGTATGTAACTTGTGGTGGTAGGCTGTATGTAACTTGTGGTGGTAGGCTGTATGTAACCTGTGGTGGTAGGCTGTACGTAACTTGTGGTGGTAGGCTGTATGTAACTTGTGGTGGTAGGCTGTACGTAACTTGTGGTGGTAGGCTGTACGTAACTTGTGGTGGTAGTCTGTATGTAACTTGTGGTGGTAGGCTGTACGTAACTTGTGGTGGTAGGCTGTATGTAACTTGTGGTGGTAGGCTGTATGTAACTTGTGGTGGTAGGCTGTATGTAACCTGTGGTGGTAGGCTGTACGTAACTTGTGGTGGTAGGCTGTATGTAACTTGTGGTGGTAGGCTGACGTAACTTGTGGTGGTAGTCTGTATGTAACTTGTGGTGGTAGGCTGTGTGTAACTTGTGGTGGTAAGCTGTGTGGTAGGCTTGTGGTAGTAAGCTGTATGAAGCTCGGCAAGTCGGCTAGACCTTAATAATCCTACCCAACACTTGAAAGTCTTGGTAAAGATTAAATAATAATAATAATAATAATAATAATAATAATAATAATAATAATAATAATAACAATTATAATTAAAGCTTCAAACCGAGTCTTAACCTTAGAGGCTTATAATAATAAGCCTTAGAGGCTTATAATTATTATTATTTTATTAATATTATTAATTATTATTATTAGTAGTATTTTATTTATATTATTATTAATGTTATATTATTCTTGTTATTGTTGTTGTTGTTGTTATTGATGTTTTTATTAGTACTTTTGCTCCCTATCTATTTATTCATATATGTTCCTTACGAATGCTTTTGATACGTCAAGAAAGTTGGACTATGTTCATCTTGCTGCTGTGGTCGAATTGCATATCTATGTAACTGGACCACAGCTGACCTACCTGTACCACTGAATCTCTCAAACTTCTCTGAGCTCACTGTCCTCTCCCACAGCTCATCCGGTGTTGGATAAAGCTCTCAGCTCACCGTCACTTCTTGAGGAGCAGGAGAAAGTGGAGCAGGTGACCTTGCTGGGTCTATCCCGAGTGGTCACCTCCAGTACCAAGCGCTGGGTCTTCTTCAAGGTCAAGCAGGGTCAAGGAAAAAGGAGCGGCTTGAATTAAAGGCCACCACAGCTTCCTCCAAATACAAGTGAGGTTATCTTCAAGGTCTCGGTGTTATTTTCAAGAACACAAGGTTATCTTCAAGGTCACGAGGTTATCTTCAAGGTCACGAGGTGATCTTTAAGGCTAAATTTAGAAACAACCTTAAAGATTAATTGGACATTACACACACAGTGAAGTGATGAGCACTTTCTGAGATACTCAAACCATCCCGTCTGACACCAATATGGTCAAAGTCACTTCTGATGTTTAGTCTTAACAATGGGTGAACCTCGTGACCTTGTCTGCATGTTCTTATGTACTGAGGTGCTAACACGAGATTAGCGGACTAGATATTTACATTAACGAGAAGATATTCGGGTATACCTAATAAAGGAGTCACTGAGCTCGCACGGTATGTAAATTGACAGTCCGACGCTCTAACATAATGGATTACATTCCGTCAGTCACCAACTGTAACAAAACTGAAGTCCTTCCCTCGGTCCAGGAGCTTTAACATTAGATCTATTTTACCCCTTCTCCCCCATCTGTTTATATATATATATATATTATATATATATATATATATATATATATATATATATATATATATATATATATATATATATATGCAAAACAACAACTGTGAAAGAATAGAGAAGTTCCAAGCGCTTTCGTGACTACTCACATTATCAAGGAACAATGAACGTAAAACATCAAAGGAAGGTATATAAAGGGGTAGCCCACACCTCACTATCAGATCCCACAACAACGAAACACCTGACGTGAGACAGCAGGCCCGCCGGCCGAACTAGACAGGTCCTTCATACAACCCACCAACAAACTATTCTACCCAAGAAATAAGAAAAATTATTATTTGTCCAATGTATTATTAAATTCTTCCCAAATTCTATTAATTATAAATAGATCTAATTTATATAAACCAAAGGAAATATTCATATTATTGTCAAAACTGCTTTTTATGAAACAAGATTCAATTATATTCCTGTCGACCATGGACTTGCTTGATACTACTTTCTCAACTTTTTGAAAATCAATTGAATGGTCAAAATCCCTTACATGAATAAATAGAGCATTGGAATCTTGTCCAGTTCTAATGCTATATTTATGTTGTTTTAATCTTAGTTCGAGATTTTTACCAGTTTGACCGTAATAAACTTTATCGCAAATTTTACAAGGAATCTTATAGACATCCATCAGCATTTTGGGGGAAATTCTTTATCAAAAGTTTTTTTACTGTATCAAGATTTTTGAATGCAATTTTAATATTAAAAGTCTTAAGAAGAGAAGGCATATCAACCAAGTTTTCATGGTAAGGGAGAACCAACATATTTTTAGTTGAATAAGGCTGGTTGTCCCTTTTTGGATTGTAAAAAGTATTTCTAGCAACTTTAAAAGATTCATCAATTACATTTCTTGGGTATTTCAAATCATTACCTATTTCATAAATTTTGGATATTTCCTCATCTATGAACTCTGGACTACAAATTCGTAAAGCTCTCAAAAACATTGATGAGAAAACAGACAGTTTAACTCTGTCTTGATGGGAAGAATAATAGTGGACATAGGAACAGTTATTTGTAGGTTTTCTGTAAATTTTAAATTTGAATTCATTATTACCCTTAATAATTAAAAC